ATACTAAGTATAATCCGAATTTAAATTTTTAGGGCAGTACCCTCAAAATCTTCAAATTGAATTTTTCACAATCATGCTTATTTGTTTATATCTTTCTCGTGCAACGTTCATGCATTGCTTTAGATGCTCTGGTGAACATGGTAGCCCTCCAACTTTCCATATTGAGCATAATTGTCCTACTTCATCGAAAACAATAGTGATTTGCTCGCTCGTGATCGACTCTTCCACCTCAGTTGGATCAACCAATAAATACTGTCTATGATCATTGATGTGTTATTATATGCGAATTATATAATTTAAAATACAATCAGAATCCCTAAATGCACACTCTATAAATGCATACCCCCATATATGCACCTTGTACCTCAGTCCAAACTACTAATGACACTTATAAAATTGTTATCTAAATGAATGCACATTCTAAAAGGTGTGCACTTAGGGTGCTCTGACTGTATAAATAGAATAAAGTAGTTTACCCATCAAACAACGCAATCGTTACTGAATATGGTATTCGTTGAAGTTTAAGAGTGACTGATAGTTCTTCAGTAGCCTTTACTAAGCCACTACCTTCCTCAAAAGTTGCTTCGGGAAGTTTCACTGTAATGATATAAACAAATAAGCATGATTGTGAAAAATTCAATTTGAAGATTTTGAGGGTAATGACCTAAAAATTTAAATTCGGATTATACTTAGTTTTGGGTTTGGAATAGGGATTTCTATTTAATTTGGGTTCATGACCAAAGCCTAAATATATATCTCATTTCAGTAAAAAGTGTCAAACTTAAAAACCGTCGATTCATTAAATAAACACACCATTTAATAATGTAAGACTTCTAATTAAGTATACCCAGGTTCAAGGTTGATAAACTCTTAAAAATCGAATTTAAATTGGATTGATTATCAAACAACACCTGAGGCGGAGTGCAACGAAGAGTAGAGTTTAATGGCAAGGAAACGGATATTAACATCTGATTTGATTATTGAACTCATCTTGGGATTTCTATATTTTAAGTTTAAATAGTGCAATAAGAAAATTGTAATTGGATGCTGTGTGATCAAAGAAATATAAAAATTACTAGAAAATTTTTATTTAAACTTAATAAGGCCATACAAAATTATATACTTGGTTTTCATATCATGGAACAGTGGTCAGTGACGCGGGCGCGCGGCTTTTTTTTTTTTATAGTAAAAAATTTTTTTTTTATTAAAACTTATTATCCCACGATTCAAATACCCGATATGGGCTTTTTACGTTATTTGTTACGTTAACAACACTAAATCTCGTTTATACACGTATTGATATTACTATAAATGGCCGGATACAAGACC